AACTGGGTCTGTGCTCATGAACACCTGCCGCCAACAACTTTGTTGCTTCCACCTGACCCACCATATTATCAGGACTTACAACTTTGGGGCTAGGGCTTCCAGGCGGCCGTTCAAAGCTGTCTATCAGCGCTTCTTTAGGCAGCTTAGTTACAGAGCCGTTCGAAGGAAGTTGATCTGGAAGGACGCCAGGGTTTGTGACAAAACAGAGCAATCTTGGTTATGCAAACGAGGCACAGTATTCGATTCGATATTTATGTACATACACTTTTGACTAAATCAATTCGTTGATTTTTATGGCAAGACGATCTCAACCTGTGAACAATCTTCAATGGCTCCTCTCCACAATTCATTCCCGCCTGGAGACGGCACCATATCGTCCTCGATTCTCTGGCCATTCTTCAACGTGTCTGGATCTCCCACAACAATTCGCCCCACTCGAGCCCGAGTCCATGCCACGTTGAGTCTCCGCTCGTCAATCAGGAACCCAATGTCTCTGTTGGGATTGCACCGCACACTCGAGTATACAATGAAGTCGGCCTCTCGCCCTTGGAACCCGTCCACCGTATGAATGGAGGCGCCTTGCACGTAGCTTTTTAAACAAGTGACCTGCTTCGTATAAGGTGTAAGCACGGCAATGGAAGGTGGGGTATCAGAGGATGTTGTAGCGGTATTGTTTGGAGGGGTAGTACGCAATAAGTTGACGATATGACCGACTAGTTTTGCTTGTCCCTCATTCTTCTTGGACTGGCTACCCATATCCTCCTCTTCTGTACAGGGTACAAAGACGTTAGGAATCTTTCTACCACTAGCTACTGGCCAAGGGAAACTAGTCTTATCTAGCTTCTCTTGCAGCTTGCTGGTATCAGTTCCAGTTTGAAGCCTGTTCTCATAGAACCGCATTGAGGGATACCGAGCCAAATCTTCGGGAAACCGGTACTGGACATTGAGCATCGCTTTATAGAGGCCAATCTGCTCTATTCCAGTGTAGAGTCTCTCAAACAGAGAGACGTCTAATCCGGGGACGGTCATGGGACTCTTGATTGTCGGACGAAGCTGGACACTAGGATGTAAAGTAAACAATCTGGGGTCGCACCAAAGGGCAGACATACTGATCGCCTACAAGGATGGCCTGTTTACATCCCTTTACCAAGGGAATGAGAGATGTTCCTTCCGTGATCTGGGACGCCTCATCGATGAGAACCGTTTCGAAGTGTAGTTTCCTGAGGACCCCCAAGCCGGCACCTGCACACGTGGTAAAGATAATCTTCGCTCCTTTGATCCGCTTCTCTGCTTTTTTGATAAGTTTGGAATCGTCGGTCGGATTTCCGCCTAGCAAAGCATCCACTGTATATTTCTTGACACTCTCTCCAACTTTGCCATAATCCGTTGCTGCTCGAATTATGCTTTCGTCTGGAATCCATTTCTTTTCCAAATTTCGTCGAGAAAAACGCTCCAGGACATTGTCAACAGCTAAATGAGAATCAGTTAGGCAGATTGTTGACCTATGAGAAGGAGACTTGCCATTATGAGTCGAGGCTGTCATCAAAATCTGCGCCTCGTCATCTAGACGTGAAAGCAATATCTCCAATATTTTGACCACGACAGTGGTCTTCCCAGTTCCTTGAAGAGATGAGCATACAATGGCACCAAATGGCGACACCTTTCACGTACCAGGTGGTCCCCAAATCAACCCAACTTCAGATTTACAAGAGTTAACTATGGCCTCTTTTTGGCTGACGTTGAAGCCCTCCCACTCGATGTTTTCCGATTCCTGAGTTGCAGCTTGTATTTGTACTTCATCTATGTTCCGTGTACCAGTGATAATTTGATGGAATCCGCAAGCCTCGAATTGGTCGGTGTGAAGCTTGGTGACTGCATCCATCATGGCCTTTGTTGTCGCAGTGTTACCGCAGTCGTACATATACCACTCCATCTTCTCGTACTCAGGGGGTGGATGGTGGAACAGCTTGATTTCAACTTGACCACGAGATGAAACCGTCACAATGCCATCCAGTATTTCTCGCCTATAGAGTGCTGATTCTTTCTCTGGTCTAGAAGCTGCTGCTAGTCTGACGTGGGAATGAAGGCGAGCACTACTTGGCTGATGGACGGGAATCTCTCCTACAACCACAAGGGCCTTTGCAGGTGCTACGGCAGTCGGTGCATCCTCTTCCCTTTCAACTGGCTCGGGTTGAGCCTCATTTGCTGCCGGACGAGCTTTCTCTTGACGGGCATGGATCGTCATGCGAGTAGGAGAAGAACGTTGTTTTGTTGGTCGCCCTTGGGCATCACAGGGACAACACTCAACAGCATCGCCTGCCCTCTCAGCTGCCACGCGGAAGACTTGCTCATGGTAGTAAATGTCACTTTTATAATGCCGTGTGCTGACACGAATGTCATGGAGTGCGACTAGGAATCCGGAGACAACTTGCTTGTTGCGTACCAGGAGGGAGCAGGACCAAAGCAGAGAGCAGTATTGCAAGAAATCGAGCTCTCGGATATCAGTACCTAGCTTCTCCAGGGCAACTAATGAAGTGGCTGGGGCTTCATTCGCCGAGAGAATGATAGCCTCGAGGATATCTCTGGCTATAGAATGGAATGGCTCGGATAATCTCCCACTTGCTCTATCAAAGCTTTGATGCAACAAGTTGAATACGAGATGCGGGTATCGTAATAACCAGCCAGACACCGTGGAGACCTCCCTCTCGGGGTGCGCACACAACTGCTCAAAGATCCAGAAGGCACGTTCTTCTTGATGATAGTGTAGGGCAAATTCTAGGAGCTGGTTTAGTCGATCAAAAGTCTGAGTTGCCAAGAGTGCCCTAGCATTTCGTTCTTGTGACGTGAAGATTGCCTCGTCATTTGGACCTCGCTCGTCCCACTTAACATTTGCCAACGCATTGCGGGCAAACGGCTGTGGAGGAGGATTGGAGCGTAGTTTCTCCTCTGTAGGTACGCTAAATATTTGAGTTCGTCGTTGAGTCAACCTAATTTGAATAACTTACCGCGCGAAACGCAAATCAAATATTTGCTGTGCCAGCCGATCTTGATTTGATACTACATGAATTTCCACTCCAACAATCGGAGTCTTATTGATTCGACCTAGATGCTAATGACTGATCAGGTCTTTATTCTCGGTGGGAAAGTGAGCAGTACCCGCACCTTCTGTGTATTACCAGATATTTTTTGCAAGGCAATACTGACTTGGAGCTCATTAACAGACTCCTTAGGTGGAAGATTGATAAAGATCCATGTATCGCGAAGATGTCGATTATACAACTGGAAGATCCCGTCCCCACAGTGTAGGCGGTAGCCTTCCACGGTTCCTTTGTCTATGAGCGTGTCAGAATTTCATCGGATTCTGTGAAATTGTAACTTGACAAGTGGATTGGCTTTGAAGGGCAGTGGGTGTAGCAGCAAAGACAGCGACATTGTCATTCACGATATGATCTTCATCCCAATTGACGTCACCTCGTATGAATATACCAGCGCAAAACCGATCATCCGTCTTGATAATCACAATCCTTCGCTTGAAATTCTTCAATGCACGCCGTAGATATTCAAAAAACCCGGATAAACCTTGGCCTTTTGAGGTATATAATCGTTGAAGGCGAAGTGGAGGTTGTGAGAGATCATTTTGGAATACTGAAGACGATAATAGATCAGATTGCATCAAGCTGAGATGATAAATGGTCAGTATAATCCTCAATGCACACTGGAGGCTTTACCTGTTCCAAACGGCACGTTGTTCCTCAGGAGTCAAATCAAACGCATGACATATCATCCTTTTTTCTGATGGACTGAGGGACCCAAAATTCATCATAGGGATATAAGGCTTGATATTTATTGAGGACCTCCTGGCGATTCTCCAGGCAAGTTGAAGAGTTTGAAATTCTGTAAGCGTGACCCTATCTGATGTCAATAGTGCAGTCAGGACCTCTTCATCTGCTATCCGGTCCACCGATTTCTCTGTACTACTGTGGCTGGCCAACCATTCCTGAGCAAATGCTCTGCACTCATCAAGCATGATATCCACTATGAATGGCTCGGATGGAGTGGGAGGTGACCGTAGTCGTTCAGGAATTTTGATAATCGCTCCATCAACACATTGGGAGTATAGTGCGTTAAGTTCCTGGCATTCCTTGCTCATTGCACCTTCTGGCTTAGCTCGTACCCATTGGGCATGTAACTTAGCAGCACGACCCATACTAATGCTGTGCTTTATGTTAGATCTATTTATGATATAACTTGGAATTTAACTCGCCTATTATATCCAGCAAAGTGAGCAACAAGGTCTTGGCGAGTGATAATCAGTTTTTGACGCTCTTTGACAGCGGGGTAAAGGAAATGCTATGTCACTGTTAGGAAAGTGCATTCTTGATTTATACAAAATTCTTGTTACCTCTGCAATTTTGGGTTGTACAAGGTCTTCATCCCATATGACGGTGTATTGATCCCCATCAAGATCACCTGCTGACTTGTTATGAAGAATCATAATACAAGGTACGATGCTCACCTCCTGAGCTGAGAGATGGCGCAGCGTGTTTCCCTTTGGATGCAAAAACCACACAATCCACCAAATGATCCAGCTCCTCTTTGTAGACAGCCCGTAATTTCAAGCAGTCCCCTTGAACCTGTAAGGTTTCGAATCAGATGGAAAAAGATCACATACCGGGGTGAAGGCAAGGGTTGCGCACAACCAAGACTGGGCACGAATGAATGGCCCGTGGACCTCCCCTTGGCATGGTAACTTTTACAAAAACCTCACCCTCTTCTAGGACCTGAAAAGGGTCGCAGACTCCAAATATATAACGAGATTTGTGGACGAGAAATCGAATTCGGTCCTTATTGGTATCTCCTTTTTTGAAGCTCTTGATTTCCTTCGTTAGAGCATCCGTCAAAACTGTTTGTACTTTTGGTGAATCCAAGCCTTCCAGTAAGACTCGCTCTGCCTCTGGATGCTGTCCTACACTCGAAAGGAAATCTAGAGCTGCATTTAGTTCTGTAAGGACTTTCTTCAACCAATCAAGGTAACTGTGGAGCTTCCTGAGGAACGTTTCATTGGTAACGCCTAACGCTGAAAGTAGTGTGGCGATATCACTGTTGATCCGAGCATATACATAAGGCTGTGAATGTCCAACTATAGAGAACGTATCATTGCTCGTGGCCGTAAATTTCTTCATACTTTTACGAAAGTGAACATGCCCTTGTTGTTCTTTGTCCAATGGAGGGTGTATCATAAGAACGCCCTATAGTAAATAATAAGCAGAATTTCAAGAGGTAAGAACCACGCCACGAGCCTTATAGCCACGGTACCTAGGATTCAAGTCAGCCTCAATTGTGAAAAAGATGCCGTCAATCTTAGAGCCTACCGAATTTGAATGACACAAGGAGTGTATTTTTGTTGACGAAAAAGTATTCTTTTATTGCGTGCAAGTAAACGAGCATAGTGCCTTGATATTAATCCACAGCCATCAGAGAATAGAGTGTCACCTGTCTCGATATCAGGGATACTGCGTAGATTAGCTAAAGAATCAGTGTCGAACAAATTAGACACGAACTCTTTGACATATTGTGGATCAAGTTTCCAATCGAGAGTTGCGCTCGAGAATAATAAGCCAATACGTTTTGCGACTATGCTTTGGAGTAAGCTCGATGCACTGCATAGATTCGGGGGATTCTAACGTTTAGCAGGACTTTTGATTGAGTTGAAATTTCCCATTGCAAGGATCTTACGGTGAAGAACTTCTTCATCGGCTGCTTCTCTCAAGAAGCAACTCCGACTACGAAGTTGGCTGTTGCTGTGTCCGTAGAACCAAAAATGTCGTCCGTTGATATGAACACCGGCTTTCAAGACTCGCTTGATGTAGTCAACGTTGACAGAAGGGTACACATCCGGAAATCGCAAGGCTTCAAAAGAGGCCAGAATGAATAGGTTTTTATCATCAGTTTGTAGTATGCGGTTCGAAGGGAATTGACTGGAGTCGAGTGTGATAGATTCTGGCGTGAACCTCATGAGAAGACCGCGATATTCGCCATTTTTGGTCGATCCTATTTTCGGGAGTTGGATGCCTGAAAAAATCCATTCACTATCGGAAGGTTCGGGTTTCTGTCGTAATATTATAGGCATTTTCCGGGCTGGAGAGGGCAGAAATGTCGTGGGATGGGATACCCGACCGCTTAGAGCACCACTACTGAGCCCGATTATATTGGCAGGGTATTGTATTGCCAGGCGCCAGGATTACGCCTGGGTACGTAGCGAATAGAAAACTGTCATGATAAGATTATTTTTCATTTGGAGAACAAAGCGGTAATAGGATAGACCCGCAACTTGATATTTGACCAGATGGTCCTCGTCATCGGAATATTCGTTATTGGCGCCTCTTCCACTGGAAAGACAACGTTATGCCAGGCTCTGGAAAGAGAGCTTAAACAAAAAGGGTTCTATGTGATGCATATATCCGAAGTAGCTCGGAGCGTCATGCGAAAGCATGGGTTTACGAGAGAGGACGTTGGGACTCTGTCCATGCAGAGAACGATTATGCAAGAACAAATCTTAGAAGAAAACAAGAGGTTAATTTCTATTGAAAACCTGAAGTTGCAATCAAAAGACGAACCTAGTTTGCCATGTGTGTTACTCTGCGACCGCACGGCAATCGACCCCCTGGTCTATGCAACCATGAAATTAGATCAGGATTCGGTTCAGAAAATGGTCCAGGACCCACTGTTTCAAGAGTCCCTATCC